ATATTTACCAATTGTATTCACATGCATTTAAACTGTGGTATCATTTATTCAGATCTTTCGGATCATTTTCCAATATTTTGTAAAAGTGACAATACATCTGTTCCTATTCATTCATTATGTGGCAAATCAAGAGTAATCACCAAAGAAAAGATTTTGTTATTTAAGAATAAGCTACGATTGATTGACTGGTCTGTAATTTATGGTAGAACAGATGTCACTGTGTCATATAATCTATTTATTCATAAGCTTAGCTCCCTTTATTTTGATTGTTTTCCCCTTACAAAGGTAAAACGGAAAAAACACGATAAACCTTGGATCACCCGTGGTATTTTAAAATCTATTCAGAGAAAGCAAAAGTTATATTGTCGTTATATGAAGAAGAGTGACGACGTACGCGAAAAAATACGTTGAATATAAGAACATATTCACAAGTATCATTCGCCGAAGCAAAAAGATTTATTATGAAAACCTATTTAAAAAATTGAGAGGTGATATGAAAAAAACCTGGTCTCAAATAAACAATTTATTAGGTAAAAAAAACAAAACATTACCTTCTCACATGTATTACAATCAGGATAAGATACTAAGTAAAGCATCTATTGTTGAAGAATTTAATAGGTATTTTGTTAATATTGGAAAGATTACACAAGAAAAGATACCAACTTCTTCCTCTCACTTTCTGGATTATTTATCAAACCGTGTACCAAGTTCACTGTTCTTTAATCCGACTTCCAATACTGAAATAATCAATGTTCTCTCATCCATGAAAACATCTGCTGCACCAGGTTCGGACTCTATTGCTGCACGTGGCATTAAGGAATGCATTCATACAATTGTTGATCCACTTTGTTATATCTTCAATGAAGCAATGTCACAAGGTATTGTCCATGATAATCTCAAGACCGCTAAGGTAATTCCAATTTACAAAAAAGGTGACAAACATGACTTTGTTAATTACAGACCAATTGCTCTATTACCTTTTTTTTCAAAAATGTTAGAAAGGATAATCTACGACAGACTGTATACATTTTTTGCACTAAACAATATTTTGATACCCCAACAATTTGGAGTTCGAAAGAATTTTTCTACTGATCTTGGCGTACTGAACTTGGTTAATACTATATCACATGAAATAGATGTTGGTAATTATTGCCTTAGTGTATTTATGGACCTGTCAAAAGCATTTGACACCATTGATCACCACATCTTGTTAAAAAAATTAGAATTTTATGGATGTGGAGGGGTTCCACTTCAGTGGTTCTTCAGTTACTTGTTACATAGAAATCAATATGTGGTGATCGATGGTGTCATTCTCTACAAATGGGCCTCTCCTTTTTCTCGTCTACATAAATGATGTAGTTAAATGTTCTTCAATTCTAAACTTCTCTTTGTTTGCTGATGATACCACTGTTTCATTATCACATAAAAAAATTTGACAATCTTATATCATCAGCAAACAATGAACTAGACAAATTAAATAAATGGTATGCTTGCAATAAATTGTTTTTAAATTTTGACAAAACTAGGTATATTATTTTTCGTGCGAGAGGAAGGAGGGTTCCGTCAAATCTGTCTAACCTCATTATTGGTGAAAATGTCATAGAAAAGGTCGATAATATGCAGTTTTTAGGTGTAATTTTGAATGAATGTCTTTCTTGGAAGCCACATCTTAGCTCAATTTGTACAAAAATATCAAGATCTATTGGTGTTCTCTCTAAATTAAGACTTGTTGTGCCCCAGTCTATTCTGACGACTCTTTACAATAGCATTATACTTCCTCATTTCAATTACTGTAATACTGTCTGGGGTCACACCTTTAAAACCCATTTACTATAGATAAATTATGCATTTTACAAAAGAAAGCAATACGAATTATCTTTAATGCTCCCTTCAATAGTCATACAAAACCTTTATTTTCACAATCAAATATATTACCGTTAAAGGACTTGATAACCTTGAATTCCCTTGTGTTTATGTATAAATTTCATTCGAAAATCTTGCCTCCTCTCCTTAGCGATATCTTTGTTCTGAATTCCTCAATTCATTCTTACCAAACTCGCCAAAGTAATTTAATACACTTACCTCAGGTTCGTTCTTCCGTCGCCTCAAATTCATTTCTAATTCTTTTTCCTAAGTTATGGAACAAACTCCCCAACAATATCAAAAACAGCTCAACTCTTTCCAGATTTAAAAAGCTAAGGAAGGAACCTTCTTTATAATATATTCTTGATATTCTTGTTCGCTTTCATTTGTACTGCCCTCTTATATACATATAGATACAGTTTTTTGCTGCTGCTGCAGAAGTGTACTTCTCTTTTTTTTTCTTTTTTATATTAATACTGATCTCACAAACATTCCACAAGTTACCCTGGCTGACAGAAAGCACTCTATCAAATGAACGACTTTCCTCGAAGAATGTTCGAGAGTTTGCACAAAGCCAAGGATATGATGTCACCACTGTCGACATACCTGTACATTGGGACATCACCGAAGTGTTTGATGACCAGTCAGACTTTGGAAATAAACTCCTCGACTTCTTCACCCAGGCGGCGTACTTTCGGGAGACGGCACCGTCTGAGGTGGTCGATGATTTGATGAGCTTTTGGTGTTCCATTTCGACCGAAGATGAGAATGGACGTATTTTAGCACCAGCCCATGACGAAATACTTCTCATCTCAAAATAATTCACTGCAATCGTTCTTCAGAGCACTTAAAAGTATGTTGTTTACAATATCAATAGAGTTTATCACAATTGCCCTTTTTCATGCGCTTACTATATAGTTACCTATCTACCACGTATTGGTGCTCAAGCAGCTCTAAGAGTGCCTTGGATACGATACAGGATGCGACATATATATATTTCCATTTCAAATATTTTATGAACGATTTAGATGAGGTTTAAGGTAAAGGGAGACCAAATATGAGGGGGGGGGGGGGAGGGTATTTTGAAAAAAAACTCCGATACTATTGTTATCATTATTATTGAATTGAATTGATTTGAATTGAATTCAATTCGATCATTCTATTTTTTCATTACTGCAATAGTTTTACGCACAAAATGTGATATTTAAGGAGCAAAATCTTGCAACATTTGAAACATTAAAACACAATTTTTGTAGTTAAAAAAGGTGAACTCTGGCCCGTGAAGGTACTGCGTCCCATTTGCAGGCCAATAAATGAAAAGGTCAACTTCCAACGGCATTTGAAAGACAATAATAATTTAGATCTTCCCTCAAAATGTAAGGGCTTGAAAATGGCTATATGGGAAAATAACGACCATTAGTTGTCGAGTCGACTTAAGTGATTGCAATTAACCAAGTAATAGTCTGATTTTCAGACCCTTTTACCCAATAATCGTACGTTTTCGTGCTGCACAAAGATTCAATCAGTTTAATTTTGGCCAAAGAAGTGGGTTATTGATGTAGACAAATGCTTATGAACCTGTTACAGCTCATTTTATGTATATTACTACCAAAGAAAATAGTAAGATTAAACGAGAACTTACCGTTTGAAGTTTGATCTTTATTTTATGAATATTTAGGAGGAAGTTATTACATGAGATCCCGCCAAGCGCATGCGCAGTCAATATTCAAAGCTACAAATGTGGCTACTCTCAATAGTATTAAGGAACAGGGAACTTACACTTAGGTTTGAAGTTTGGGTGGGTGAGGAGGGCATGTAATAACTTCCTCCTAAATATTCATAAAATAAAGATCAAACTTCAAACGGTAAGTTCTCGTTTAATCTTACTATTTTATATCATATTTCGACGTTCGAAATTACATGAGATTTTGAAGCATAGTAGCCACATTTGGAACAACCAACATGTACGGAAAAGTGAACACTGATTATGCAGATTGAATTGAATGCTTCTAATCAATGACTCACCATATTTGACAGTTATTGTAGTCTGTTCATACATGTGGCAAAACATTTCACATACAAGACGTCCAAATATAAGACGTCATAATGTTGCAAAAACATTGTTCGTTTCTGTATCTAGTTGATTCTAGCCATCTGGTTTCTTAATCCCAGTTCTATTAATTAGACAGCTGGTCTCTTAATGCCAGTTCTATTGAAAAGCCTTCTGATGCAGTTCTTAAAGCAGTGTGCTATCTTGTAAGACTGCCTGGGTAAAGTTTCTCTTGTTTTCAAAAGGTTTCCTGTAGAACTTCCTGAACGTTTTCTCTGAAGACCATCCTGCTCGGGCTAGGATCTGGTCCATTGGAAGTGCTGCCTTGGCAGCTGCTGAAGTTGATGCTGCCCGTGTTGAATGAGCCTTATAAACGTTTGTATCCACACCTGCTCTTAGCAAGCAGGTCTTGATCCAGCGAGATAAGGTTTGAGTTGTTACTCTATTATGAGGTCTGGTGTAACTTACAAAGAACGAGTTCTCATTCCCACGAAGTGGCCCTGTGCGCTGGACATGATGTTTCACATATTTTACAATACACAATCTTCTATCAGGAGGATATGCTTCCAATTTAAAATTAAAATTGGTATTTCCTGGTTTGCTTTGCTTCAAGTGTTCATCCAAATGAAAAGCCACAAAGCCCCCTTTGAGGGTCATCTTGTTAGTCTTCAATATATGCAAGGTTTGCACTCTCTGTGCCGATACAAGAGCCATTAGCATACATACTTTGAGTGTTAAATCTCTGAGGTTTAAGGAGTTTACTGGAGACAATTTTCTTAGAAAATTGAGGACTGGACTAATATTCCATATTTCTGTATATCTAGGTAAGACAGGTCTGAGTTGAAAAACACCTCTCATCAGTCTGGTTATAAGTGGGTGAGTACTTATTGTCTGATTACTGTCAACGAGAATCAGAAAAGTGGATAAAGCGCTACGAGCTGTATTGATCGCACTGTAGCTAAGGTTCCTGTCATGAAATAAACTACTAAGGAATTCTAGTACCGTTTCCACCTCGGCTTGGAGGTAACTCGTATTCCTGCTGTGGCAAAATCTTCGCCACTGTGTGATGTACACTTGGTACTGCTTGCAGGTTGATGCTCTCCATGAAGTTGTTATGATATCCACTGTTCGTCTGCTTAGTCCCCGATTCTCAAAATGTTGCCGCATAACCTGCAACATAAGAGGTCAATATTAGCATTAAGAGGGTGGGTGGTGTTTAACACAGGAAGGAGTAGCAAATCTTCTTGCCTCTGGATAAACAATGGCTCTCCTTCCATCATGCTAACCAACTGAGGGAACCACGCCTGAGTAGGCCAATTAGGGACCAGAAGTAACCCTCTAGCTTTATCCTCTCTGATTTTTTGCAAGCATTTGGGGATCATACAGAACGGTGGGAATGCATAGAATGCAAAAGGTTTCCAATCTAGCGTAAATGCGTCAACTGCAAAAGCCCCAGGGTCTGGGTGCCAAGTGACATATTTCTCTACTTGAGCATTTAGTCTTGAGGCGAACAGGTCTATTTCTGGTACACCAAAGTTGGAAACTATTCTATCGAACACTTGTCTGTTTAGTCTCCATTCTGTTCGATCATTAAATTTCCTGGATCTTTCATCTGCTATAGTATTGAGCCGACCAGGTACATGGGGTGCGGAGACCCAAATATTTCGAAAAATGCACCACTGCCAAATTTTTCTCGACATCTTGTCACACATTGCGGACTTGCAACCTCCCATGTGATTTAAATAAGCCACTGCAGTGGTATTATCTATTCTTACCATCACATGAACGTTACGCTTATTCATGCAAAAGGATTTTATCCCTAACCCAGCGGCTAGGGTTTCCAGAAAATTTATTTCATTGTTTCTTGCCCTTTCTGCCTCAAATTCATTCCAACGACCCCCTGTTTGATTCTGGAGGTCAGTGGCTCCCCATCCAAGGCCACTGGCATCTGTGTGCAATTCTAAGTCAGGTTTTTTTCCTAACAATTGGGGAGGAGGCCATAGAAACATTGTTCATCCACCACTTTAACTCCTCTTTTGCCTCAAGGGACAACTTCATCTTTCTGTCAAAATGACCCCTGTTTTGTCTGAGGGCTGCAATTTTGTCCCTTTCCATTGATCGATAGTATAAGGGGCCATACTCAACCGAAGGGAAAGTTGCTATGACCTTCCCAATCACTCGTGCTACCATTCGTATTGATGGGATGTACGTGCCCATTAATTCACGGCATAAATCTTTCACTTCTTGTGCCTTTGTTTGAGGCAATTTAACAATCATACTCTCAGTGTTAAGAATGAAGCCAAGAAAGGCTAGTTCACGTGTTGGGATGAGCACTGATTTTTTAGTGTGAATGAGGAATCCTAATTCTGTGAGGATCTTAGTCGTTGCACTCACACTCGCTTTAAGCTTTTCTTTTGTCTCACCAATAATTATGGTGTCGTCCAAATATCCTATGACTGTATGACCTGCTTGTCGCAGTTCGGCGAAGACTGGCTTCAGCAATTTTGTGAACAGTCTGGGAGCTGTGCTGAGCCCATTAGGTAAGGCTGCAAATTGCCAGCGCTCACCCTGCCACATGAACCTCAAGTATTTTCTACTATTTGGGTCTACTGGAATGGAGTAATAAGCATCTTGGAGGTCGATTGATGCAAGATAACAGTACGGAGAAATCAAGTGCTTGGCAGTGTGGATGTTATCCATCTTAAAGTGTTGTACGTTCAGACTTTCATTAAGCTCTGATAAGTCTAAGATCATACGAGTACCCCCATCTTTCTTGGGTCTCGTGAAGATGTTTGAGAGGAATTCTCCCTCTTCAAATGAGCAAGGTTCTATTACGTTTTTTGCTTGTAGAGCCAAGATTTCTTTAGTAATCTGATTTATTTCTAAAGGGCTCTTTTTGTAACCGTAGAGGGGCTTATTTCTTGAGGGAACCCCTTTCGAATAATCAAATTCGATCTCATAGCCTCGCCCTCCTGATAGCAGAAATAGATCTGACGTTAATTCACGCCATCTACGATAGAAATATATCAATCGACCTCCAACAGGCACATTTGAGATGCATTCTTGTTGTAATGTACATGAAGTAGAAGGAGCATTAATCTTAACATTCTCAAAATATTCATATGTGCTACTTACCTCTTTGGGTAATGGTGTAGCTATTTCCTCCTTGCTGCCTGTGGCCGCTGGAAGGATTGGGTCTGTTTTCCCATGCTCATCGTCTGGGTGTGAGGCGGAGCTCTGTAAGGTCTGCCTCGTTGGGTTCGCTGGCCTAAAAAAGGCCTGTTGTAGTTCCCACTTGCGGGCCTGCTACTTGGAAAAGTTTGTGATGTGCCGGTGGCACGGTTCCATCCTTGTCTGCGGTATTGAAAAGTGCTGGACGCTTGCGTCCTGTACGGATGGTACTGGGGGCGGGGTGTACGTTGTCCACGCACCACGCCAGATGCAGCTTTTTGTTGTTCTGTAAGATCTTTGACTCTCTTTGTTAAGTCATCGCCAAATAAGTACTGACTCACTGGTGTGGCAGGTTTGCATAGATGTGAGTACTTGGCATTTAAGTCTGGCTTAATCTGATCTTTGCGTAAGCAGTTGATTTCAAAGTTTGTGTTACACAGCAATGCCAATGCATCCTGTTGTGTGTCAGATAGGCTATCGGGGGACAGAGTTTGAATAAAAGCTGTGAGTCCCCTTGTCAAAGGCTTTTGGATTCTTTGCAGTTTCAAATCACGGCTTCTCGTTTGCGAGGATAGGTTTTCCCATATTGCTGCATTCACTTTGGGGCAACACAGTGGAGTACAATTGCTTGGAGGAGGGTATTTCCCTCCAGCTTCCTCCAACACATTTTCCTCTAGCTGGTGGGACATGAGGTACATGGCAGACTTTGCTAAATCATCGTGGATCACGCCACCTACCCCAGTGGGGATAGCAAATTTCTGAGCCAGGGCAGGAACTTTGTCCTCATTCTCCTGGTCTAAACCTGGTGCAACAGTTTCGTTGACATCACCTTCATCCATGCTGCCAATGTCATATGACGTAGGGCATTGGCCCATGTTTCCAGTGTCAATATGCTCAAAATCATCATCATCATGTTCAACTTCAAGAAATCTCACGTTCGTCGCAGCTGTACATGCTGTCGACGGTGTATCCCCTGTGGGGCGAGTTGCAGATTGACAAGGCAAAAAATCCACCATTCTCTCCATTAAGGATTCCAATTTGTCAAGTCTTCCTCGTAAATCCGTGAAGTCCTCCTTTTCTTCAGGCTTTTTGCCCTTCTTTTTAGGCCCAGAGTTCTTAGACACATTCGGGGCAGGCTTTGCCAAGACACTTTTGCGTTTCGTATCGGAGGATTTCACTGCCGATGAGCGCTTTGGCTCAGGCTTCGTAGAGGGGCCCGCGGCGGTTTCGCCCGGAGAAGTTCCGGCTTTAGCCGTGCTCAGCGTTTCGCTGGTTTTCTGCTTGGTGCTGCCTGACGGAGACGCCATCGTGTACGTGGAAATCGGAACAAAACTTCGATTTTTGATATAAAACAGCACAGATTCTCAAGAGTCTTCCAAAAACATGAAAAAGGAGAGTTTCTCTCCCTAATGAAGTATTTTTTCGAAACCGCTGGTCCGAAAAAACGCCGAAAATTAGGTATTTTGACTGCTGAGGGAAAGTTACTTTCCCGGTAAAATTCAATTGCGCGGCGAATTGACTGCGCATGCGCTTGGCGGGATCTCATGTAATTTCGAACGACGAAATATGATATAAAATAGATGTCAGTCAGTCACTCAAAAGTGTCTGCGGTGAAGTTTAGAAGGTAAACGGGTTTCCTTGCATAATTTGAATAATTTGAATTTGAATCTGGCCAACTGGAAATATGCAAACATATCAGTTATCAACCGATGCAACTGAATATATGCCCACAGACCAGTCTCTTTTTTTTTTCTTCATTTCATTGTTCGGTAGGAACTATACCTGCACCTAACACAATAAGGTCATAATGGTTGTGGGTAAACTGAATAAGTTTCCGTGTGCCCAGCTTGCCATGACTATGAACGGAAATTCCTCTCATAAAAGTCGTATGAACATCTGTGTAGTATAACAGTGGGTATACAAACGCAATTTTGGCGTTGGCATTGTTAACTTTATCAACTGAACTAATCAGTGCTTATACAAATCCCTTTTCGTTCGAAGAGCACACTTGCGTCTGTACAATTCGTCTACACCTCTGCTTGTCTGTACAACTACAGTTGAAAAATGTATGCTGCTATTTATAATATAAAACCTCTGACAGGAGATCATGAACGCTATGAAGATGCTTATTGCAATGCTTTTTTCAAGGTGGCTCAGAAAGATGTGGTTCTCGAAAAGGTGATTCAATATTTTGATGCCACAGTGATGAAGAGGCTTACTGATGTCTTACTGATGAAAAAAACGCTCTTACCCCCCCCCCCCCGCTTATTCAGCGGCTGGCTAAGTCGTTGCGATTTTTTGGGGACCAAAAAAAATAAATATATGTCCTCTTACCCCCCCCCCCCCCCCCGCCTATTCAGCGGCTAGGTGAGTCGCTGCGATTTTTTGGGAACCCCTCCAAAAGTATATTATTTGTCCTCTTCCCCCCTCCCCCGCTTATTCAACGGCCGGCTGAGTCGTTGCGAAATTTTAGGCCAAATTTAAAAATGTTAAACCCCCCCCCTAAAAATCCTGCGTATGCTACTGATTTCACCCCATGCCATTTTGTGCCCCTCCCCCCCCCCCCCCGCCGGTAAGAATTTCCTGGATCCGCCACTGTTACTTCCAAAACTCACTAAAAAAAAAAAAAAAAAAAAAAAAACAGGTTTTCATCTTTATTAAGACAGTCAGCGACATCCCATTATTAGGCATGCAATGTTTGCTCCCTCATTCTGAAGCTCCATGACCTCAGATTTTTCATTGTTCGTAAACACAGAAAGGTCAGAATTATTGTGGGTAAACTGAATTAGATTCCTCTCATAAAAGACGTATTAACATGTGTCTATACCAACAGAGAGTATACATGTACAATAATGTTGCCGTTGACATTGTTAACTTTATAAACTGTCCACTATAGGATAGTAGGGACTTTTAGATTTACACGTCGACATAGTGGACTGCTACGTGATGAAGTTTTTTAAGGCACTGCTCATGCGTCACGTCGTCTCCGGCGTCGACTCTCAGAATCGAGAACGGGTCCACCTTGATTTTCCCGTCGTCTTAAATCTAGAACGCCGTGCAGTTGTTTTCATATATGTGACGTCATCTCAAGCCTCAAGATGAATGACGAAAAGTCAGAGGTATAACTTTGTCTATGAGCAACGACAGTTTTGTGGTACCCTTCTCTCTATTCTCATTAAAACTCTTTTGGCTTGAACTGTGTCTGTGAAAAGTTTGATTGGTATGATAGCATCCGTAGAAAGGTTTATAGTTAGTGGCCGTGGCAGTTTGCATGAGCTTCGCGTTCGCACCGCCCAGCTGGCTGGTGACGTGACGAAATGGGTCCTCGCATTGGGTGGCGCACAAAATCTGCTTTGAAATTTCGCGCGCCGTTCATGACCTCATCACGCTTACTTGTCGAATGAAATCTAAAAGATTTCTGTTTGTATTACAAACAAGGGCAGATGACTACGTTGACACGCATGATCAGTGATTCACGCCGTTCTCGTTCACTCAATCTAAAAGTCCTTGGTGCTATATACAAATCCTGTTCCGATATCGAAGTGCCCACTTGTGTCTGTACAATTCGTCTACACGTCTGCTTGTCCGTACGACTCCAGTTGAAAAATGTCTGCTGCTATTTCTAAAATACAACCTCTGACAGAACATCATGAACGCTACGAAGATGTGTTTTACAATGCTTTCTACAAGGTGGCTCAGAAAGATGTCGGTGATGAAAAGGTGATTCAATATTTTGATGCCACACTGCTGAAGAGGCTTACTGATGTATTTGGGTGTGGTGAAGAGCTCAGTCTATTAGGTGTAGGAGTCGGAGAAGGTATATATATAGTTATTTCTTTCATAAAATCAGTTTATTTTGAATAAGGTGGATTGTAGTAATGACAGAATAAAGATTGTTCGCGACTGTTGCGTACTACTGTCTGTGCTTAGTTAAATTGTCAATGAGAGCGTTTCCGACATGGCATGGGCAGTGCACTGGGAGTGGGTAGGGTCGGCAGATGCCCCAACACAAGAGGGTTTTTATCCCCCAAAAGTATATATAAATATAAAAAACTCTTTTTAAAGAAGTAGGCCTTCAGAGATAAGTTTTATGTACCTCTTTTAGCTCAATATAAATATTGTAAGTATATTCATATTTAATGTTTATATAAAGTTAGATATATAAATAAACGTTTTAGAAACAGAATATAGAGGTCTTCTGTGGTATATGCGCAATCTCCGTCTGTCTAGATCCGTGTATACCACTTTATAAAGTACGTCAATAGGTGGTCGATGATTGTTTAATTTTAGTGTCTCAACCTCCATCTTAGTATAGGCCTATACATGTTACTCTATTTGTTACCCTATATATTTTGTGTTTATGTATATTGACTTTTATACATTGGCCCCCACATGGCGTAATTAAAAACAATTGCTTGTTCCATAGGCCCGCACGAATTTCACTTTCTGAAGAGTCTTCAATCCCACTACTCATCCATATGTAATATTGCAGTAGACCCTAATGAAGGCATGCTACAAACATTCAAGGGTAAAGTTGCTACACTGAATTTTGATGACAAATCGTCTTGTCATTGGTTCACTGGTCCGTTGTCACAATTCGTTGCAGGCGCGGATCCAGGATTTCTTAGGGGGGAGGCCCAAATTTGAAATTATGCGAGCCAAATACTGGTACGTAATGGTGACCAGCAGTGACGTAATTAGGGGTGGGTGGGTGCAGGGAGGGGCGAGTTTTCCCCCTCCCTCCTCCGCGAAGCGCGGAGGCTTTGACATTTCAATAAATTATTAGAGAAAGAAGACGATTCGTTGTACCATTCCCAAAAATAATCCTCGTCTGAATTATGTTTCTCCCTATCCCGCGAGAAGCGCGAATGCTTTTACGTTTCATTAAATCATTATAGAAAGAAGACGATTCGTTGTACCGTTCTCGACTCTTAATCCTTGTCTAAATTCAGTTTCCTCCTCCCCACCCCCTACCGCACGAAGCGCGGAAGCTTCGACGTTTCATTAAATTATTAGAGAAAGAAGACGATTCGTTGTGTCGTTATCGACTCTTAATCTTCGTCTAAATTCAGTTTTCCCCCAAGCTTTTACGTTTCATTTAATCATTAGAGAAAGAAGACGATTCGTTGTACCGTTCTCGACTCTTAATCCTTGTCTAAATTCAGTCCCCCCTCACCCCCCCCCCACCCCCTGACTCCCGCGCAAAGCGCGGAAGCTTCGACGTTTCATTTAAATATTAGAGAAAGAAGACGATTCGTTGTACCGTTATGACTTTTAATCCTCGTCTATTTTCAGTTTCCCCCCCCTCCCGCGCGAAGCGCGGAAGCTTTTACGTTTTATTAAATCATTAGAGAAAGAAGACGATTCGTTGTACCGTTCTCGACTCTTAATCCTTGTCTAAATTCAGTTCCCCCCCCGCTTCGAAGTTTCATTAAATTTTTAGAGAATGAAGACGATTCGTTGTTCCGCTCTTGAAAATAATTTAGTTTCCCCCACCCGCGCGAAGCGCGGAAGCTTTTACGTTTTTCATTAAATCATTAGAGAAAGAAGACGATTCGTCGTACCGTTCTCGACTCTTAATCCTTGTCTAAATTTCAAAAATGTTCTTTGTCTATTCCCTTTTCTTCCTACGTCCTCTTCCTTTTCACTCCTCTCTTTTTTAGGCCGGCGTTTATGGGGGACCCCCCCCTACCGCCCCCCTGTCTACGCGCCTGCGGTCAGATGAACATATGTTGATACCCTGTCCGCCCCGGAAGCTCAGGGGTTTAAGGTTTTAATTTACGGTCAGATTAGCATTAAGGGGTCCGCCTTAGGGCCCTAGGCGGGGTCCAAGGGGCAGAGCCCCGGAAGTTCAGGAGTTTTAGGCATTTAATTACGGTCAGATGAGCATTATTTTGATACCTAATTGTTACAGTGGCAGGTCACTAATTGGCTTGGGGTTTAGGGGGCGGAGCCCCGAAAACTCAAGGGTTTTAGGCACTCAATTACGGTCAGATGAGTATCAAGGGCTCTTGGTTGGGTCCAGGGGCAGAGCCCCCGGAAGCTCAGGGGTTTTAGGCGTTTAATTACGGTCAGATGAGCATTTTTGATACCTTATTATTTGTGACACTGGCAGGACACTATTTGGCGTGGGGTCCAGGGGGCAGAGCCCCCAGAAATCAGGGGTTTTATGCATTAAATGACCGTCAGATGAGCATCTAAGGGCCCGCCTTAAGGCCCTAGGTGGAATCCAGGGGGCAGAGCCCTTGGGGTTTTAGGCATTTAATCATGGTCAGATGAGCATATTTTGATACCCCATTATAATGTGACACTGGCAGTTAACTATTTTTTCTTTCTCGCTCTCTTTCTTTCTATTTCTCTTTAATATACTTTTTCAGAGAAAGTGTGAGGGGGGGGGGGGCTCGAGGATCCCGATCCCCGCCGTTCCGCGGGCCCTGATATGTAGGCATCTCAAGAAGCATTTTCTTGCCTGGCTGTAAATTTAGGAATTTGTCATTTTCCAACAAACGCAAGAAGTGAGGAAATATCTCGGAAAATTATCTCATTTCAGCATTATTTGTAAACCACCGTTATGGAA